CCTCTGTTTGTACCATTATGAACCAAAAAGATGGAACCGGATCCTGTCATGATCCATATATATATTGAGGCTGCTGAGCAGGCGATCTGGACCGTTGAAATTTAATTCAACGGCTACAACTATTATAATTTTTAGAGAAATACTCTGTTTGTAGTCGTTGGATCAAATTTTAACAGTGCAGATCGCCTGCTCAGCATATTCAATATATATGGATCCAGAGAGAATCCGGTTCCCAAAAAGATAGAGACGAGCATGCCTTATATGTTTTTCTTTACCCAACTTTCACGTACTATTTTGCTTTCCTTTTCATCACCCACTATAATATACTTAAAAATAGGTTTCAGTTGTAGCTAATTCATTGTACGTTTCACCTTTTTTTTTCTTTCTTTTTTTTGGAAGCGTTGTACGTTTCACCTTACACTATATAATACTAAATAGTTTTACACCCCTTCGGTGTGAATCTTGAGACTCCTTGACTATGAGGAAAAGCACATTAGTTTTCTTAAAATAAAAAAGCTCAAGCTATTTATTCGAAAATAAAATAAAGTATGCTCAGTCCATTTAGTCGGCCTCTCACACACTCTTTTATCTTAATACAAATGCACAAGTTTTTCAAACTCCATTATTACTTATAAGGATAAAGTTCTTTTGATTTGCCCCATCAGATAACATTTAGAAACATTGAAAATTGAAGGAAAATTAATACGACAGCAAACTCACATGAATGGATATCGAAAAACTGATAGGGCAACATAAACAAATTTATTTTTCCTTGAGGAAATTGCCCTTTTGATCTGTTATTTCATGGACAGTTAAGGCACTAAACCAAGCAAGGCTAGAAGCAAATGTGAGAGTGTATGGGGCAGGGGACATTTACAAGAAAACGTGGCCAAGTCCATATGCAATTGGTAGTGGCGTGTTACTGGTTCTATCATTTCTCAAGTACGCATATCGGCCATTAGGGTGGTTGGCCCTTGGAGCCGTGGCCGTTGGCATTTTCCCCGTTGCTTTGAAATGTTTTGCGGCTATTCGGAATTTCAGGTTTCATGACATCAACATTCTTGTTATCATTGCCGGTGAGTCAATACTTTGTCTTAATATTCAACTTATTTTTTCATTTCATTCTCCCACAATTTTGGTTTTCTAAATTGGTAGAAACTCTACTGCATGATGTTGCGTTAGTTATATGAAATTATCATATAAACATTGAGGTACACTGTACACATGACTGTCAGTCAATCATCTATCACGAGAATAATACTTAATATGATACAATCATCTGTTCCACTTTAAAATTACTTGTCAAATTATATTTTCTACACTCCAAAATTTTGTTACCACTTATCTACTCTATTGCAAAACAGCACACATGATACAGAAGTTACTTATTTGCGCATGTTTGTATATTTTATGTAAATCCATTTGGTGTAACTTTTGACAGTAATTGGGACAATTGCTTTGAAGGACTATACAGAAGCTGCCTCGATTGTCTTTCTGTTCACCATTGCAGAGTGGCTCCAGTCTTCTGCAGGTTACAGGGTTAGCATAAAACACTCATCCTTCTTTTTTTATGAAAAAATTAAGAACTAATCTCATTGAATTAAACAAAATACAAGTAACGATAAGTGGCAGAAAAACATAGCAATTGATTTTGGAACAACAAATTTTGCTGAAGACAGTTTTGTACATAATTTTGTGATAAACCACATACTAACCAATGCTTTAAAAGACGAAAGTGAAGCCCTTCCTAGGCGAAAGCCTTGATATTGAGGCGACTCATGGGACCTATAATTATTAATATATAGTCTAGTTGGAAGGTATGTCATATGGTCTTGTTGAACTTGAACTTAGAGGGTATGTCATGGAGTCTAGTTGAACTTGAACTTTGGCATTTTTTTTCTTAAAAAAAAAAAAAAAAGAAAAAAAAAAAAAAAAAACCCAGTCAACTCTGCAGCTGCCTAGGCATGCCTCGATCACATCTAGGCGAGTTTAAGCCTATTCCCGTTGGGCAGAGGCATTTTCATCACCGCCTTGTCTCCAAAGCTGCCTAGGTGCGCCTCAAGGCTTGTTTTTCAAAACACTGATACTAATACATTAAAATGTTGTTTAAGGGATTAACGAATGACTTGGTAATGTATATCATAAACAGTCAGACATGTAGAATAACATGCTTTTATCTACTCAGGCAAAAGCAGTGATGTCGTCGTTGATGAGCATGGCCCCCCAAATAGCAGTCTTAGCAGAGAGTGGAGAAGTTGTGGGTGTTGATGAGGTAAAGTTGAACACAAATTCTTGCTGTTAAGGCCGGCGAAAAGATACCGATTGATGGAATAGTTGTTGAAGGAAAAGCTGAAGTCGATGAGAAAACACTAACTGGAGAATCCTATCCAGTTGCCAAAGAAAAGGACTCCACTGTTTGGGCAGGCACTATCAATCTTAATGGTAACATAAATGTCGCTCCCGTCATTCTTTGATTTTGAAGAAAGAGTTATGTTTTCATTTCTGACAAAATTTGGTTTCAATTGTGAAGGTTATATTAGCGTGAAAACTACATCATTGGCTGAAGATTGTGCGGTCGCCAAAATGGCAAAACTCATCGAAGAGGCTCAAAACAGCAAATCCAGAACTCAAAGATTCATTGACAAATGTGCAATGTTCTATACCCCAGGTTAGTCTACTTTCCCCATACATTTCATATGTTTCCCTATTCTTTACTACTAAGGAGAATGCAAACGGTTGGATTTATACGTTTTGTGGCGCTGTTTTGCAGCGGTCCTGGTCATTTCTGTTTCTATCGCGGTGATTCCAGCTGCATTACATGTTCACAATTGGAGAAAGTGGTTTCACTTAGCTTTGGTTGTTTTAGTGAGCGCCTGTCCGTGCGGTCTCATCCTCTCTACACCCGTTGTGACTTTCTGCACGCTCACAAAAGCGGCAACATCTGGACTTCTGATCAAAGGAGGTGACTACATTGAGATACTTGCTAAAGTCAAGATCATGGCTTTTGACAAAACTGGTACAATAACAAGGGGTGAATTTGTGGTGATGGATTTTCAATCTCTTCGTGATGACATTAGCTTGAACACATTGCTTTACTGGTATAGACTGCAACTCCTCTATTCAGCAACATGTTGAATGAAACACACAAAAATTTTGATGGAAAGAAAAAATTTACTTCATGAAATTCAGAAAGAGGCTTTTAGTTTAAAGACAAATTTAAGGCTGTTTTAATGCTGCATTATTCTCCGAAAGCGTTTCCTATTATTTCACTAAGTTTGCAGTTCGTTGATTTCTCTATTAATCTTCATGAAGGGTTTCAAGCATTGAGAGGAAGTCAAGTCATCCAATGGCAGATGCGCTGGTTGACTATGGAAGATTGTTTTCGGTCGAGCCAAACCCTGAGAATGTGGAGGAGTTTCAAAATTTTCCCGGCGAAGGTATTCATGGGAAAATTGATGGACAAGATATCTACATTGGAAACAGAAAAAATAGCTTTGAGAGCTGCTTGTGAAATAGGTAAATGCCATCAACTCCTGTATCTTCGAAGCTATTTCGAATGATTTCAAGGATTATGATTCATTTTCTTTTTGTTTATGGTCTTTTTGGATCTCTCATCGCTAAATCTTTTTGAAATTTCAGTTCCAACAATTGAAGGTTCGAAAGGTGGGAAGACGATTGGATACATATACTCTGGGGGAGCCCCTGCTGGAGTCTTTATGATATCTGATGCTTGTCGATCTGGGGCTGCAGAGGCTCTCAAGGAACTAAAGAAGTTAGGCATTAAAACAGCTATGCTCACAGGAGATAGTAATGCTGCCGCATTGCATACAAATGAGCAGGTGTGTTATTCCTAATATCTTAGCCTCATATCGCTATGCTTAAATCTGCGCGCGCATACCATGCGCTCCACTCTCCACTCACTTTTATTGATTCAATGTATGATCTTCCCTGGTATACATGGCTGTAGAACTGCATATATATTTTCCTTGCAGATTAAGAAAGAAAAAAAAAAGAACAAATAAGAGTAGAAAATTTATCTGACTTGCAGCTTAAGCAAGCTCTCGAGGTAGTCCAGGCAGAACTTCTACCTGAAGACAAGGCAAGAATCATTAGAGAATTTAAAATGGAAGGAAACACAGCAATGGTTGGAGACGGGATCAATGATGCCCCTGCTTTAGCTACTGCCGATATTGGTATCTCAATGGGCATTTCAGGATCAGCCCTTGCTCAAGAAACTGGGAATATAATTTTACTGTCAAATGACATTAGGAAACTACCGAAAGCAGTCCAACTTGCGAGAAGAGCTAATAGAAAAGTGATTGAGAATGTGGCTTTGTCAATCACTGCTAAGGCTAGTATCCTTGCACTGGGATTTGCAGGGCATCCGCTTGTTTGGGCTGCAGTTCTTGCTGATGCCGGGACATGCTTGCTTGTGATATTCAACAGCATGCTACTCTTACAAGGAACCAACAAGCATGGAGGGAAAACTTCTGCACCACATGGCCATAAACATGGAAGCCATGGACATGGCCATAAACATGGAAGCCATGGACATGGCCATAAACATGGAAGCCATGGACATAGCCATTCTCACAAAAACCAACATTGTTGCTCGGACAGCATACCCGTAAAAGTCTGTAAACCTCAAAAGTGTTCCTCGCAGAAATGCGGATCAGAGTGCCATCCTAGTCCCTTAAATTCAAGCTTTCCTTGTAAGCTTAAGTGCAGTGATGACTTACACGAGGCACGACACTGTGATGAAACAAGCTGCATCAAAGTCAGTCATGATCTCGAGTCACAGAATAAACACAATCATGGTTGTTTGAGGCATCATAATTTCAGCTCATGCGCAGAAGGTGATAAACTTCACGAGGAAAAACACTGCAATCATTCTGCTTCTTCTTTGGTGGAAATTCAAAAGTTGACAAGTAAAGGTCATTGCCACACGACCCACTGCGGCAAAGAGCACAGCAGAAATGAAGGTGATGGAGTCCATGAGGAAAAAACACTGCAATTATTCTGCTTTTGCTTTGCACGAAAGCGAAAAATTGACAGGTAGTGTTCATTGCCACTCAAGCCACTGTGGAAAGGAGCATGTTAGAAACGAAGATGATGCAATCCATGAGCCAAAACACTGCAACCATTCTACTTTTTCCTTGGAGGAAAGCAGAAAGTTGACAAGTACTGGTCATTGCCACTCAACTCAATGTGGCAAAGATCATATTCACAATGAATCGTTAGGAGAAACGTTTGCCACAAGATGTGATCATCAGCCCCACCATAATCAAGACAAACAATCACCCCCTCATCACACGACGATTGATATTGTAGCGGGTTGCAACCGCACAGAATCAGCCGCAACGAATTCTTGCATTGGCTCCCGGACAGCGGAAAAGGAAGCATGTTGCTCAGAATTAGTAGCAATTCATGCTTGTGTGTTGGAGAAAAGAGAAGTCGGTGGGTGCTGTAAAAGCTACATGAAGGAATGCTGTGGTGGTCATGGGCATGTTGGTTCTAGCTTTCAGGGTTGTTTATCAGAAATCACAATGGAATAGATGTAACTGACTGAAAATAAGTGTGTGTGTGTGTATATATATATATATATATTATATACGTGGTTTATATATATTTGTGAAATTATCTTCAACTCCATGCTGCATGAAAATATCTTCAAAAAACAAACAAAAGTACAAGCTATAGCACTTCCTCTTCCTTATCATAAATTCAAAATGCCACTTTTTTTCGAATTTTCGGCAGGATTACCAACACTTTCGAGGGACGAGGGTATTTTTGATCCAGCGGAAACACCTTCAAACCTTTTTGAGTATGTTATTTTCCTATCATCCGTTTTATACGATGACGCGGTTGAACTTGAATATATTTGACGTGATGCTTTTAATGTAACTCCATTTGACCGTCTTTGAGGTTCAGAAGTACCTCAAATCAAGAATTTGAACATTATTGCAGGTTGTTATAGCTACTTGTACACCAGATGTTTTGCCGCAACGATATGGCAGAAGCTGTGTCACGAGGATCCGCTGTCGTTAACGACAGGATCCGCGGTTGTTAAACGGTCTTGTAGGTGATGGGATTTTGAGGGATTGTAATGGAGGAATAGCTCCTGATATCACCTGTCTTTGCGATGAAATGAAGTTGGGAGAGGAGGTACAGTGAACAGCCGCTGTCGTGAACATTGAGTTCTGAAGAACTAGTCAACTAAACAGCAACACAAGGAATGAAAGTGCAATGTTGGAGTGATCCTCTTATAGGAAACAATGTCAAACATAGCCGCCCTAACAGCCGTAGGGATTTTGCGCTGGCGTTGCTCGGGCAATGTTGGAGTACCATGTTTCCTTCTTACACATCAACATGGATTTTGTAGCATATACTGAATAATCAATCAAGCCATTTGATTTCAAAAAACTTGCATTTGAATTTTGACAAGGATAAAAAAGAATTAACGGTACAGATCATTTACATAAACTACTTGAAGCTAACAGCCGGAAGTTTACTCCTCTGGTTCACTATCCATTCACGAATAATTGAATTCACTTCATCGGGCAGTTCGTCGTGCGGGCAATGACCTAATTTCGAGAACAATGAAAGGAATAAACTTGTATGAAACTTTTGAGCATAAACACAGTATACAACAATGGAAATATTTTACACACCGGCATCCAACTCCTTGACGATGAACCCAGCACAATGCTCTTTAAGCATAGCCACTGTTGACTTGGAGTCCGATATTGGATAGTAAGCCAAACAAAAAGACATGGATGTGTTATGTATAGAATTATCAATGACAAACGTGATTTTGTACACTTAAAATAAAATTCTAATAGGATATGAAGATCCAATCCTCAAAGGTTAGTATTACTTGTAAGACAAAAAAAAATTAAAAAATTAAAAAAAAAACTGATCATGATTAGTACAAATAAAAGTACAAGGTCAACAAGTGAGGGCACAATTCTCATGAGCCATTCTCTCTTAGTCGTCTCCTCTCTCTCTCATCCACTTTTAAAATTAGTTTCACAACACATTATCAGCATGATGTGTTTTTGCGAAAAAGAGAAGGTCTTGGAAGAAGACTAAACCTTTTCACCATCTTCATCAACATCCAAGTAATCTTAAGCCATAATCTATTTGGTTTCAATTTAATATATCCCATGAATAATATGATTATTGTTTTGTGTAATATGCATGTCATATCAACGTTGATGAATATATGGGTGGGTATATCAAAAAAGAAGATACAAATTAAGGGATTTCAAAACCCTAAATCACGGAAGTCGCGGCTTGAAGCCGCACCAGCGTCTGAGCTGCCAAGCTGCGCCACTCGTTTAAATGGTTGCACGCTATGTCGTCTGACATGTCTTCTTCTTTCCAAAACTTGGTCGTCGCCGCTCTGCATCGTTGAGTCGTGAGGGATGTGATCCCATGCCACCTCATATGATGTTGATTATTGACTCAAACATGTAGTCAAAGTCAAAATCTTTGGGCTACTTTGTGGTAATGGGAGGCAAACAACATTTGTGCCTAATTTGTGCCTAATTTGTGTCTAACTCTTTTGACTTGATGTTAGGCCTTTGCCCATTGATGTCTTTGAGAAGCTTTTCTTTGGCTATAAAAGAAGAAGCAAGGTGTAGCCCTAGATGGAGAGACAAGAGGAGAACAAGGAAGAAAGAAAAATAGCAAGAAGCCATTCGGCATAGAGAAGAATTTTCTCAAATTGTCTTGCTTTGTATTTTTGGTTTTCTCTTCCTATTGTAAGTGTGAGAGCTTGGGTTATTTGGGTCTTTGGGAAATTGAGTGATAAACACTATTGTATGTTCTCATTGATTATAGTGGAATACTCCGTCGTCTCCAAACTGGATGTAGGCATTGCCGAACCAGTATAAATCTTGGTGTTCTTGTTGATGTTGGTTTTGTTTCTGTTCTGTTTTACTATTCACTTACAGTCGAATGCCGCTTCCGCACAACATATGACTCTGGCCGTTAGTGATGATGATGGCACGCATCTCCAACATCTTTTGTCATTGAGGTTGTGATGGGGAATTACCCCGAAGGCAGTATAAAAGAGATACCTTGTGATTCTCGTCGAAACACTCGACCCAAATCCCTTTCAACCACCATCGTTGTCCGTCGAAGACGAGAACAACCGAAGGAATAAGTCTGCAGCGCGATGCTGCAGGCATGAAACTCAACATGTTCAAATGCATTTAATAAGATATGTTAAAAGCAAACATATGTTGATCCACCAATGTAAGTGTACCATGAGGAGAAAAACTGAATTTTCAATTGCTTATCAGTAATTAAAACCGACATATGTTAAAGCATGCATATGAGAAGAAAGTAAACTTTTCAATTTGCTCATCTCACATTTTTTTATTAAGTTCATCACCAAGGGAAATGCATATTCCAAGAGAAATGTGACTAACCAGAGAGATTGGTGATGGCATTTGAGATAGCAAGGGCAGTGCAGAGACCATTCCCTCATCCAGACATGTCTCCTCCGAGTAACAGCTTTGCAAACCTCTCCATCATTTAAACATCTGCAATCACAAAATAAATATGAAATAATTAAAATAAAAAAAACAAATAAATCATCTTTAATTAGAACATAATCAGATAACAAAATTTTCAGCTGCACATAAATTAGTATGTATTTTCATTGAGTTTCAGGATGTGAATATTACTGGACATCTCCTAAATTTTCTTGGAATCCAAACAGTGAGCAAGATTTCCCAGAAGCCTAAATTTAGAAAGAAAGAAAAACATTTAAACATAAAAAGGAAACAAATAAACAAAATAAAATGAAATACCAGATAAAACACTCAATTAAAAATAACTAAGCAGAACAAAAGGCCAATGACAAAAAATATGACCATATGTAGCAAATCCAAAGCACACCCCAGAATCTTAATAAAGACAGAGAAAAAGAAGCAGCCTTCAAATAAAAAAAAGACATAAAACTAATTTAATAGTACCTAAGACACTGCCTTAAAAAAAATGGGGGCAATAACATGTATATTAGAGAAAACAATAGAATAGGTTATAGAGAATATGTTGGAAAATTGGCACTGTTTGTAATTATCTTCTCATACAATTTGGTGGAGCAAAAACTAAAACTACCAACATCAACATGCAGTGTTTGTCATAAAACAACAATTTCATATCCATTACCATTATCCTCTAATGCTCTGAACAATCTTAACGTTGGCCTGCAAATTGTCCGGCCCCTTACCTGTGGAGGTATTATATGCTTATTTTGTCAAACAAATAGAGATCATTAAACCTGAGTAAATTTCCACTTAATTAAGTTCTAAACACTTCAGTTAAATCTGAAGTTAAAAAGAGCAGTTCAATTTGACTAAAAATACATAAAGGAAGAGAGAAAGAACAAAGAGTTGTAGAAAGCTGTAAAATGATACTAAACCTGCAAGTTGAATCAGAAAAATATTCAAACAAATCTAAAAGCCAAAATTATTCACTGAATCAGTAAATTAATAAAAAAAAAAGGAAAATGTATATAAGTTCATTGGAAATTAAACGTGTGAATCAATATTGATATAAAATTAGCTACAAAGCTAGGTAATTAAACTTAATACTTTATACTTAATATCACAATTTCCCTCTCAGTTTTCTTATTTTCAATAGAAACCAAAACCAGAAAACTTTAAAAAATTGGAGCTATTTGACTCATATTTTATAACAAATCACAAACCCCCTTTAATCCAACAATTCTAAATACATATTAAAATTGGGATAAACATAAGCAGAGATAACACACCCAAAAAATTACATATTAAAATTGGGATAAACAGAAGCAGAGATAACACACCCAAAAAATTCTCAGCCGCCTTCCAATCGTCGCCAAATTAGAGATCTATGAACTGAGATAACAAAAACTGCAACCGATCAAAAAACCAAACGATTATAAGTTGATGGATTGCGCGAAGGAGAAAAACTGCATACAAGAACAACAACATGTGCACCAAACCAGAGTTAAATCGCAGTTGATGAATATTCATGAAATAATCGATCCTACAAAGTTCACATTTTAGCTGGAGCTCCCGCGGTTTATGACCTCTGTCTTTGTGGGTACTACAAACAATTCACAGGAGAAGGTTGAGGGTTGAATTGAAGGAATCATGCTTATAAGTTGGTGGGAATATTAGACCTCAAAGTTTCTAATGTGTTGTAACAAGTTAACTAACAAAACTTGGATAGTGAGGGTCAAACGTACATTTTAGTTGGATGTTAAATTGGCCTTCCAATTACCACTTTTGCAACATCGAAGGCCCAAATTAGGTGATCAAAATTCAAATTCCTTAAGCAAACCCGCCTTATTTTCCAGTAAGTTATATGTTTTGGTTTTTTTTTTGACATGATAATAGCCATTTTCTAATGTGTTCGGGTTGCCGGTTGGGCTGAGCTGTGATAATGTTTTATTAAGTGGGCCAAGCCGGCTTGACCCATTTCATCTCTAGGTTTGATGTAGTTTTCGTTGTAAGAATCCTAAGATTATGAGATGGAAAATTGATATAGCTTATTAGCATCATCAAAACTTAC